CCCGACAAAGGCTCTGGATGGGTACTGATGGATAGATGCGATTACCTTTCTAAAATACAATCCATTTTGCAAGATAAGAGTAAGTTCTTTTGTGAAACGATACAGAAAGATAAAACCGCGCAGGATGGGGTTAAAATCACTCAAGTGTTGAAGGAGCTGAAGCGTATGAACCAAATAGATAGCGTGCTACTGGAACAGCTAACGCCAGTGGGTTCCCATCCTCCATGTCTTTACGGACTACCTAAAGTACATAAACCACAAGTCCCTCTGCGTCCGGTAATCGAAATGTCAGCCTCAGCTACTCACTCGGTTGCGAAATGACTGGCGGGTTTGCTCGAACCAGTACGCAAGGAGGTATGCACATACACCGTGAAAGACATTTGAATTTGTGAAACGAGTAGAATGCATGAAAGTAACTGACAAATTGATGCTCTCTATGGACGTTGAGTCACATTTTACGAATGTTCCATTGATGGAAACTGTTAATTTTATGTGTGATTACATGAATGAAAAGAACATAGATGTGGGTATTCCGGTGAGGAAACTGAAGGAATTAATTTTACGGTGTACCTTCAACAGACAATTTTTATTTAATGGAGTCTACTACAGACAGATTGACGGTGTCGCAATGGTCCCCCCTAGGACCACTTCTTGCTGATACTTTCCTCGCTATGATTGAGCGTGAAGCTATACGACCCATCATCGCTTCGTTTGATTTCTATTGTCGTTATATGGATGATACGTTTATAATCTGCGATTCAAACATCAATGTTTCCAACCTGTTAAACCAGTTAAACCGTGTTCATCCAGCGTTGAAGTTTACTATCGAAACCGAAAGAGATGGTAAGCTAGCCTTCTTGGACGTGTTGCTAAGCCGAAGGAATGATGGTTCATTGGAAAGAAGTGTATTCCGGAAGGCCACTTGGGTAGGCCACTATACACATTTTCTGAGCTTTGTACCCTTGAGGTACAAACGTAATCTCGTCCGCTGCTTGTATTTTCGTGCTACGAAAATTTGCAGCCAGGAGACGCTGGAGGCCGAAAAGATTCGTATTCTCAAAACGCTGCAAGATAACGGTTATCCGACCCCATTCATCAAAAAGTATGCAGTGATCCGCAATAGCCCTGAAGTGATTACTACTGTCCCTAAGAAGGACGTGTTTCTGTCAGTTCCCTTTAAAGGCGATGTTGCCTTTGATCTGTTGACCAGAAGGATTTCCACTGCAGTGGCTAGAACCTTCCCAGCCGCATGCCCACACGTCCTTGCGGAAACGGCCCCCTTTATAACCCAACGCATTAAAGATAGACTTCCGGTTCAGTCCCAATCTTACATTTTATATCAGTTTACCTGCGCCTGTGGTGCAAGGTACGTGGGACACACAACCAGGCGTCTGTCTAAACGCATTGCGGAGCACTGCCCAGCGGCTTTGCGGAAAGGCATCGTCAGTCGCCCCAACAGTTCCATTCTGGAACATCTGGTGGAAAGCGGACACCGAATTAGGACCGCTGATGCCTTCCAATTACTTTATGTAGTAAAACCACGGTACACTAAAGGGCTCTACTTCGGCTTGGGCAACCGGGTAGTATTTCGCCCTCTGACGAAACCGTGGACATTGTTGTGTTGTGTTGTGTTTTCTTTTACTATTTTTGTACATTGTTTTGAGTTCCATGGTTTCCGATGGTGCAATGTCTATTCATAGACTGTTGCATATATATATATATATATATATATATATATATATATATATATATATATATATATATATATATACACTAAAGGGCTTAGAAAGCAAATCTTACGGACGGCCGAAGCGATTGCGATTAGAATATTGCAACCGGAATTGTGTAAGCAGAAGGTCTTGCTGCAAGGGCTTCTTCTACCCTGGCCCTAGTCAGCTCGCTAATTTTTGCCACTCCAGACGCCTACAGTGGTCGGATGATGCACTTGGCATCCCACCGATCGACTAACACGTGCTTTGTCAAATGTGTAGTTAACGGATTTTATTGATCAATACTTTTGAGTTTCTGTTTGTCGTGATTCCGCTATTCCCACCACTTTGGCTTCATCAGCCGTTTGCTTTGTGCTTTTCCATTTTATAATTGTAAATGCCTGAGGAGATTTATCGAAAAGAGTACTCTTCGCAACGTTGTGTTCTTGTCATTCTGGATCGTTTGACGGTTAAAGCATCTAGGTATAGCATGAACTTCACCCCATCGAAGTGTAACGTACTGCTCAAGGATTGGCTTTCACCTGCTCCCGTGCTCACTCTCGAAGGTGCACAACTTGAACAGGTAGGTCGTTTTGTCTACCTTGGGAGCTGTTTCTTCTGACGGCACTATCAACAAAGAACTTTCTCTTCGTATCGCCAAGGCTCGATCAGCATGTGTCAGTCTGAGGCACTTGTAACGTCGTCGCGACGTCTCATTCTCACTAAAGAGCTGCGCTTACAGCGCATCTGTTCGTTCAGTATTGTCGTATGGGTGCGAGTCCTGGCCGTTTCGCGTGGCAGACATGCGTCGTCTTTCTGCCTTCGATAACGGTTTCTTAAGGAGGATCGCTCGTGTTTGGTGGCAACATCGAGTTAATAGTAGTGACGTTCGACGTCGCATCTTGGGGAATGCGAGTATTCCCTTCAACAAACTGGTTTTGTTGCGCCAGTTAAGATGGCTCGGTCACGTACTACGCATGGCACCTGAGCGTCTACCGCGTCGCGCTCTATTCGCTCGTCAAGGATCTGGCTGGAGGCGACCGCGTGATGGTCAACCTTCCACTTGGCGGCAGCACATGAAATCGCTGACGTCGTGTCTAGCAGCTGTTGGATCCGTATGTCTTCCAGGATGGGGACCCAAAGATGAGGAGTGCCAATGGCTTAGCACTCTTGAAGACATGGCCCGCAACCAGAGTCAGTGGAAAAAATTGTGTACAGTATTGTATTGATTCACATGCTTAATACTACAAGCATTGAAATGACAAAAAAAGAGAAAAATCAGTGAGTGGAAAACAAACTAAAAATGTTTTGTTAATTTTTGTCAAAATGTTCCATTCCTCTTACGGCATATTAGCTGAAGTATGTTGCTCACCTTCAACTACCATGCCACGATGATTATGACGCAATGACTCTCTCTTATCCACTGATCTCCATAGTTTTCTGTTGGCTCTTTGTCTAGTTGTTAGACAGCTGCTACTGCTGCTGATAGATAGCTACTACTACTACTACCCTGGAAAAGACACTGTACTCCATCACGATGACGAGAGCCAATCTATTGGCCTCGCGGTACTCCACAGTCTACTCGGCAGGGCCACCGCTGCTCAACAACGATGTGTCCACGTGCTCATCAACTGGAGTAAGTTGAATTAGGCGTCAAGATGGTCATGCGACTAATCCGGGACTTGAACCCCAACTCTGCACCAGGCCGTGACGGACTACACCCACTATTCCTCAAGATCTCGGTCGAGTACATCGCCGATCCAATGTGCCAAGTATTCGGGCTCTCACTTGCTGAGGGCCGCTTACCTCGCACTTGGAAAGTGGGACTTTTTATGCCTAAACGCAAAGGTGATTGGCGGAACCCTGCGAACTATCGGCCGTTATGTCTGACCTCTGTTGTCTACGAAATTATGGAAAGAATAACCAAACGCCCACTCGATGTTCACTGGAACGGCCTAGGAGTATTCCCTTTACGACACGGATTCTGCAGGACACGATCCTGCATCACTAAGTTGATTGCATGCCAGAAAAGCATGCGTTAAAGCAACAGATGCGAGGAGACACCTTGATGTCGTCTTCATTGACTTCTTCAATGCATTTGTCAAAGTGCCACACAAACGTCTGCTCAAACTTCAGAGAGTTGGTGTCGCCAGAAACGTCTTGTTTTGGATTTCAGAGTTCCTGAAAGCACGAACCATTTACTTGAAGGTGAACCAAACACTCCCCTTCCCTTTGTGGGGTTCACCAACGCTCCGTCCTTGGGCCAGAGCTCTACAAGCTACATTAACGATCTTCCCGCGACACTTCAGACAGATTGTCTAGTCTACGCTGATGACCTCAAACTGTGGTCTGAAGTATCTTGCCCCCATGATGCCGACAGACTACAAGCGTCGCTTGATCAGCTGCAAAACCGGTCCTTCGAGTACCGACTCCCAGTAAACCGTAACAAATGTGCCGTTCTCCCGATAGGTGGTCCGGATCCATTCGATGCATGTCATATCGGAGAATATCTCAAGATTGTCGCACTTGAGAAGGACCTTGGAGTCATGGTCTGAAAAATCACGCCGGAGATATTTAGAACCTTATTCCTTTCGCATGTTCGTCTGGTTCTAGAATATAGCATCCCGGCAGCCTATCCCCTAACAAAATCTGAGCATGCTCTGATAGAGAAGGTGCAGAGGCGCGCTTCAAACTCTATATCGGTGCTTCGGGACCTCCGTTGCTTTAAAGGCAACGATCTCCCGAGAAACGCCGTCTCTCGAATGCACCCACCATGTAATGATTCGGAACCTTCCTTCCTCCCTCCCCTCCCTCTTTCCTGCTCTCTATATCCCAATGAATCCAATACATGACCTTGACTAGGTTTATCGCGGCTCGTCCTACGTCTCTCTAGCGTCGTCTTAGTTTACCACATCGGTCTTTGCTGCAAGCCAACAGGTCAGATGTCATCGAGCCTAGCGTAAGATGCTATTGTCATTTCGTCTTCCCTTTGCCTTCTCATTTCGCATCCATTGTCGTTAGAGTAACCACGTGTGGGTTTTCGCGACTCATTCAGTCGCCTCAAGCTCGGTCTACAACCGGCAGCTATGACGTCGTCCACCTCGTCACGAAGTGTAACTCAGGCGCACGCTCTATCTAGCTCCGACTCGTATTAGGTGATTGTGATGAAACTGTCCAGTAGCCTACGAAATGTCTGTTTTGCCTTTCAGCCATCTCGTTCTAGTACGACCCACGTACGCCCCGGACACAAAATCCCTTAATACCTTCCACCGGACACATACTACACTTAGAATGACAAGTAGGCAGGATACTTCTGATAACCCATTCGCCGATCCTGCGGCAGTTTTGGAAACGGGGAGGTCAGTTTATCTTATTAAAACCTGACAACGTAAGTTAGGACTCCCAACCATCAACCTGACCCTGCCACTATTGAGACATCCGCGCTTTCTGAGTATAACCCTTTTGGAACTGACTATCACTCCCTCGATGGTCAGATATCATCGCATCCTGGACTTCCTCCTCCGTATTCGGCTTTTGAGGCGCAGAGGGCCACTGAAGAACTAGAACGCCGTCAGAAAATGTTGGATGCGAAAGCCGCTGAGCTAGCCCAACGTGAAGAACAGTATCGCTTGGCTGCACAGTCTCGTTTAGCAGAATCAGGTGAGTTGGTATTTTTACTCCTTACTCACATCATACCTTGCTGGGACATTGCTCTTCTTGTTGCCGCTTGACTAGCCCTACTTATCTTAGTCAATTCGAATTTCGCCCTCTGTATGAAATAGAATTACGAATTTGTAAGAAAAGCGCGCATATATACTTTAAAAGCACGCTACTGCCGGTTTTGTAACGTCTAATCTTTATTTTCTCCAAACTCCACAGCTATAGGGCATTAAATTTATAACATGTGGGAAGACTGTGTGGTTCAACAGTGCATGTTTCCTACAGATTATTGTTATTTATGACATCTGGCCTACTCTTAAGGGATTCACAGGCCAAGCCAGCTTACGTGGACGACGCAACACCTTTAGTGGGATCCTAGCTTGCGTTTCCAGGAGGTAGATCGAATTCAGCGAAGCTTTTATTCCGTTGATCTTGCTATGAAGACGACACCGATGGACCTTGCTAGCCTAGAAAACGAGAGAGCAGGATGCAAAGCAATCGCAAGAATCTGATCAACCGGGTACCGAGCAAAGGCGATACGCGTTTTAAACAATAAAACATGACATGCAGTTTAACATCCCGCACGCATCACTTAAGTATACAACAAGTACTATTTTTGCTTAGAACTTTACACCATGGACTCAAGCAAACCCGAGACATCTCTTTACCGCTACACATCTCTCTCCCCGAAGGACAGAGTTTACAATACAGCCGATTGTTCTAGCTTACTATACTGTAGTGAAACCTGTCTCAATAAGTCAACAGACACCAGGATGCTGGTTATGTTCAACCACTGGTGCTTGACATTTATTAAACATCTGGTGGGGACACCGCATGAACTGTGAGCGTTTTCTTTGTCAGTTTACGGCGCACCAAGAGCTAATGAATCACTCAGCGTCGTTATTTCAAGCACCAGACTCTAATAGCTGCACAGTGTTACGCATACTACATAGACTCTCGCAAGCTACGTTTTGCGGGACCGAGATCTAGACGGTAGAGAAAGATTGTGAGCCAACTGATGGTGTGGTCAAGAGGAATAAACACCTTCGCTTTAAATTTGGGATTCGAAAATAGTTGGGCACCTCTGATGTTTTTTATATTTCATTGTTGCTGTCACCTAATTGAATTGTATTGCAACACGATAACCGACTTTTCTCATCCATTACTAAATGTATAGAATGTTGTTGACACCGTGCATGTTACGGGCCTCTGTCTCGTTTCTTATGCTAGTCACCAATTCAAGGCCTCCGGCGCTTCGTCGTTCCGAACACTCCGTACAATCTCCTCAATCACAATTATGCAAGATCATAGAAAACTAATACGCGGTTGTATGAGATCGCTAGGTATCCAATCGGTGTGTTCGGGTTCACAATCAGCTGTTTCTGTACACAAAGTAGTAGTCGTTCTCAGTCGATGACAATGGATTCTAACAGCCTGATAATGTGGGTCCGTAGATTGCACAATATTACGGGGCTCAGGAAATGCTTTGTGATCGTGGAGTCAGTTTGGTTTCCCAACTCACTCGATCCAAGCTTCACTGACCCCATACAGCTGCCTAATCACTTGGGAAAATGGTCATAGATGCTGACTCGCAAACCTCAATCATCGCGCGTTCACAGGACACGACTTAGAAGGTGTGGAGCTGTTCCCAGTAGAACGACTTCTTGACTTGGTGTATGCTGACGATATTGCCCTCAACTGTGCCAACTCACAAACGTGGCAAGCTGCACTGGACACATTAGCACTGGCTGTCAGCCTCGAACTGCAAACCTTTCCTCCAATATTGGCAGAGACCGCCTCCTGCGCCGGCCCTTGATGGGGATTAGATCGAAGTCGTTCAATAATTCAAATACGTGGGAAATTGTATCAGCGCTTTTGCTAACCTTCGCCACTTACGGCGCCGGCGCGAAATCATTCTCGCCCTGAAGGGTAGAGTGTCCACTGCAGCGGTACGTTCGACCCTACTGTACGGTTGTGAAACCTGGCCCCTGAGATCAGCGGACATGAAGAGGCTAGTTGCGTTCGACCACCGGTGCTTTCGCAGTTTGGCACACATCTATTGGGAACACCGCGTGAGCAACGAGTGTGTTTGACGTCTTGTTTACAGCACAGAAAATGAAATGAACCGCTCAGACCGTTAGTTCACGCACTAGGCTCCGATGGGTCGGCCACGTGTTAGGCATGGTTGCCCACCGACTCTCGCGACGTTCGCTGTTTGCGCGCCGGGGTGTGGATGGAAGAAGAGGAGAGGTGGCCAAGCGATGACTTGGTGGAGAGGGATGAAGGCCCTCACTTCGAAGCTGGCCTCGGTTGGAGCTACTCGCCTCCCTGATTTGAGTCCGAAAGATGATGAACACGTTTGGGTGGATACACTCGTTGACATTGCTAGGAGCCGACTTCAATAGTGTTCGTGCTGTGAGTTTCTTTGTCCCACCCCATCCCTCTTAGCCTCCCTTTCCAATCACGATCTTATCTCTTGGCATGAGATAATTTTGCATAATACAATTTTTTTCTGCGTGGTTGCCGGCTGGTAGCTTTCCAGAACGATGCCCATCCGTTATCCGTAGATCAGCTGGCATTCATTTGTTGCATTTTTTATTTTTTTCTGTAGTGCCGCACAGTAGCTGAAGTGTTTTCCACTTCTTGCTAGGGTGTATACTGATGGCCATGGTGGTCAGTGCGCCCGCCATAGGTGTCTTCGCAAACACAGTTAATTTTGTATAAGTGATGGGAAATGCGCTTCCTCCTTTTCAGTGTCTTGATGTAGCGCACAAACCGAGGTCTTGTTGACGTGAGAAACCGTAGTTCAGCTGGATTGTAGACCTTTTCCCTAAAGCGCCAATACGTCTCGCGGTGATTTTCATAGTGTGATCACCTTTAAATGGCTGTTCGAAAAAATAGGCTTCTTTTAGACAGTTGGTTCACGATCTCGCTTGGCTGTCTCGTGAAGCCGTTTTGGAAACTGACACGGGCAACCGTTGGATTGTAGTATGTTATCGAATCTTCTAGTGACGGCCGACATTAAGTAAAACAATTGTCTTCTATACCTAGACATTCTGATCACATGACTATTAGATGACTCTATCTAAAGATCGGTTTACCGATAGGCAACATAGATAGATCAATGTTAGCATTTAAGAATTTTTCCCGATGCAACACAAACCCTAGTTTGTTCAGAGGCGGTTTTATTGAGCCCACATACTGGCAGTTCACTCTAACCGACGTTTCGCTACGCAACGCCGCAGTGTTAATAGCACCTCGATTGGTGCTTAAACGTCCGCAACTAAATTACCATGCCCAGTGAACTGTTTAATCGTCATCTGAACGACCTGAGCTACGAGTTTTAGTTTCTTTATCTAAGTTCACCTGTGGCTGCGAAGGCAGTTATGTAGGGCGCACTGACCAGTTTGCATGTCAGCATCAATGAACACTTTCGCACGCGGTTGCGCAGCTGTGTGGGATATGTGACGGCGGAATTGGCTCACCTGGGAAATCCGTCTGCCTCGATATGCACAAAGCACTTGCTGGCGAGCGCCCACTGAGTCATTCACCGTCCTGTTGCACAATCAACGACCTCACATTATCAGGCTATTGGGATCCATAGTCATCGACCGATAACACCCACTGCTTTGTCTCCGGAAGCAGCTGACTGGGGCTCTGAACATGTCATGGTTGTGCGAGATGTGCCGATTGGCTGGTTATCGATCTGATATAACCATGTTTTATCCTTCTTTCATCTTGCATACTTCTGATTGACGAACTTGCACAAAATGACTAAATCCTCTCAGTTTACTTCCAATTTTTCTGTTTGAAATTATTAAGGGCAATTCCTGTTTTAAATTTCGTTAATTGCTTAATTGTTCTTTATTCTACAGTACGGGTGTGGCATGAGCAAGCCCAAACCTCATTAGATATGACTGCTTCCATTTAGGAGCCGTGTACCGCATCTAGCTACATATACAGCTTTTTTAATTTTTTTCTGAGGGTTTCTAAACGATCACTTTCTGATCCTAGGAATTCACTTGTGCCGCATAACCTCAGTATCATTTTGGGAACATGCAACCAATTTCCATCTATCCCTTACAACGTCTCTACAATATCACTTTCTATCAACTCGGTGAAGAGCTTGTTCTAGCTGTGAAGTACATCACTTTCCATTTTACACATTAGCTGGGGGTGGAAAACACCTCAACTATTGTGTCGTGTAGTTGCATGTACCCGGCCCTCGCGCGACTGGTGGTGGTTACGTGGCTGCGAGGCGTCGGTACAATGTGCCGGTGTACTGCTCATGACTCGTGCCACAATACCGTCTAATCAAGTGACCGTAAAAAAGAAGGCAATAGCAATGCAGAACAAAAGTACGTTTATTACCCTTTGTTTTATAGTGTGCATAAACAACGAGATGGCGGTTGAGGATAGGCTAGGCGGCTTCGGATAGGAATTCATTCGTCTTGACTGCGTCACCGGTTGGCCTCCTTTACTTCCATCCAGACCCCACTTGCGCAAACAGTACACTGCGGGCTACATTATGTGTAAAAATTTTCGGGCTGATATATAGCCTAGTTTTCTAATGCTTAAACTTGGGTCGATCTCTCCGCAGTTGGTCTGAATTGGCTAACTCGAAGGCATGACTTTTCGTGGTCCTTACTAACTCTGTCAGATCTCTCCTCGGTTCTTATCAACAGTGCATGTTAGCTGAGGGTAGGAAACACATCTCAGCTTACGTACTGCAATACAAAAAGTAAGATATTAAAGATCACAGTACAAAATTCAAAAACGATTAATATGATGGTAAATATCATATTATGCGTCTTCTATCCTCTCAGTCTGCGGCTTTTCACTGAATGCGATTTTAAGCTTCCTATCACGACAGCACTGTACCCTACTGTAGTGCAATGGATTGCGTGCCTCAGCAACCCATTGGGATATGTTGGGTGGTGCTTTTGCACCTTCAGAGCCACTCATACCAGATTGATCAATACTTAACATCTTCACACCGTGTCAGTTGTTGGAACACCGCCATATTTATCGGTAAGTCACCGTAGTCGTGTTCCTCGACATCAAAGGTGCT